ACATACCTGTCAGAGCAGAGGCATCGAAAGAGGAAATTAGGTATGCAACTTTGCTGTTCAATCTGTTTTTTAATTTGTGGGTTGTTGTGGATTGTTTTTTTGTGAATGTCTGTGTTTTAAAGATATGTAGAACTAAAAGATTTGTGTTTTGTATTATATTGCAAATATCTACTGAGTTTACCAAGAACACCCAAAGCAACTCTTGCCATGATGATTATATGAGAGAGAGAGAGAGAGACAGAGACAGAGACAGAGAGAGACAGAGAGACAGAGACAGAACGGGAATACACATTATTTTGTAAACTTTGAAATCACCCTCAAAACCCTGTTTTACTAATGGACTTGATTTCAGGAATCTCCTGAATTTTGCCAAGGAAAATGATGACGTAGCCATGGCAATAGCAGAAAGGGGCTACGAGTTCATACGAGACCACCTCAGAATGAAGGATGTACTGTGCTACTGGAGGAAGCTGCTTCAGTCCTATGCAGAACTCCTTCAGTACAAACCAGTCAAGGAGGCAGGAGTGTTCGAAATTAGACCCAGAATGTAGATTAAGTTGTATGTGGGAACTCTAGGTCTGATTGTCGGTTCAGTAGAACACATTAAATGGACCTGACTCCTTCATTTCCGTCCATTGATCAAGTATTTAGAGTATTGTAACCATTACATTTACATATATTGATTTTTTATTTTTATGTATATATTTTTTATGGATTGTGATGGAATGTGGTTTGGGAGAAGCTCTTTGTGTGAAATTTTATGTCTTATACTTTTAGTGATTGGAAATACAGGAAAGTTCTAAGTACAAGACTCTGTATGCAAGTAAAATTATAGAATTTGTAAGAGTAATTATGATAATGGCACAGAAAAAATAGAAAATATAGAATGAAGGATGTATTGTGCACTTTTGAAACCTTGCATTATGTGAAGATGGAAGTATATGGCGTAGGTCAGTTATATGAATGTAATTGGTATATTACTAATGTAGTTTTCTGTGATAACCATGAAGTATGCCAGTCAGATTTATTTGTGAATCCTTGAAAATATTGACAAACACTCTTAACAACTTTTGAATACAGTCTGATGAGTATTATTTGATTGTGGCTTATATCTATACTGCATTATGTTAATTATGTATTGCTGATTAACACTTAATGCCTGGAATGTTTAGCTTTGGGAATGTATACATCTTACCCTCTGATATCATTCCATTCTCTAACTGCAGATATACTTCCATGATACAAAACTGTGTCAATATTTTTGACATGAATATTTATTTTCTTATTACTCACTGTCAGAGGTTTCAATAAAATAGTTAAACCTTAATCCCTTTTCTAACTTTTAGTATTTCTCAACATCTGTGTAATTTTGCAAACAAGCTGTATTCCACAGGCTGAAATTTAATTTCAATTTCACAAGCTTAAAATTGAAACTCCTTGTGGTCTATAGAAAGTCTGAATTGCTATATTGTTTTAATATGGTTATATAACAGACACCTAGCACATTTATATGCTCATAACCATTAACCAGTATATAAGAAAAGTGACACACATTATACACTTGATGTTTTTTCTTGATGTAATGTTGTGATAGTGACAACACATATTAAATTGCACAAATTTTGGTGTGAATATTTTGAGTAGTCATATAATGCATCCATAAACAGTGTTTGAACCAGTCTTCAGTTGATTTACTTGGGGCTAATTTTGAACTCCAGTAAATGTAAAAGTTTTTTTTCTGTTAATGTATCAGTATGACCAAAAGCCATTAATTTAGTGAATAACTTATAAGAGATTAAATCAATAGAAAAGTTTGGTTCAGTGTGCTAACCCTTTACAATGAAGTGCTAGTATGTTTTTTCTTTATTTCTTTCTTTCTTTCTTTCTTTTTTCACTACAAGACTTCAGTTTAAATATCAACTTATGGAGATATGCTTTAATGGCACCTGTGTACTTATTATATTACAATATATTGTTAGAAGACATCACTACAGAGTTTTATTATGTGACAATAATTTGTATAGTGCAGCAAGACACTATATTTGTCTGCACATGTTTTTCATCTTACTTTTGATTGATTTTTTTCGCATTTTTTTTCATCTTATATCCAACCAAAATGGTTTGATTTAAATTTCTACTGCATTTTTATGGCCACACTTGAGAAATGTTCAGATAATGTGATCAGTGCAAAATGAAAAATCTGTAGAGAATATTAGTAAAATAATATGATGTTTTGATATACATAAACACAACTTTGGAAAACACCATTATGCACTGCATAATGATGTAGTCTAGCGGGAAATTATTTTGGTATTGGACTGTAAATTCAGTATCTTTAGGACTTAAGGCATTAATGTGCTATTGAGCGTTTAGTAAACAAGAATAATGTTAAAAGATATGATACAAGAGAGTGAAGGAAGCAAAAGTGTCATAGAAAAATAATTATCAGCTCTTTGCTTTGTACATTTTTGTTTTTTAATGTAAGCAATTTATGCATTGTATTATTAATGTAGAATTAAACTGATATAATCATTGTTTTTAATTATTATTATATTAACAGGCACATTATATACATCTTTAAAAAGATGTATACTGTTGTGATTATTATTATCATCATTATTATTATTATCATTATTTTCAGTTAGGAGTCCATAAACATATACGTTTTGAGATAATATTCTGATATCTACGTCACAGAAGTGAATCTTCTTACATTAGTAAACAAATATAGAAGATACTATATCAACAACATTGATTAAAGCTATCCACATTCCATCCTGTCATTCAGTATCATTTTTTTTTTATTATTGTTATTATTATTATTGATATTAATGTTATCATTATTATCCTCTTCCTATGGGATGCATGTTTATGCTAAGATTCCTAGAAGATGTGACACACTGTAAATTTAAGCCCGTTTCCATTCCCTTTTCCATTTTTGTAATAAAATTATATTGTAATTCTGAAAGGCTTTATTTTCCAACCTTTGTTATATATATATATATATATATATATATATATATATATATATATATATATATATATATATGTATATATACATATAAATATGTATATATGAATATGTATATATGTATATATATATATGTATGTATGTATATGTATATATATATGTATGTATGTATATATATGTATATATATAGATATCTATGTGTATATATATATGTATATATATATATATATATATATATATATGTATGTATATATATGTATGTGTATGTATATATATATATGTATATGTGTATGTATATATATATATATATGTATATGTATATATATATATATATATATATATATATATATATATATATGTATGTATGTATATATGTATATATGTATATATATTGATATATGTGTGTATATATATATGTATACATATATGTATATGTATATATATGTATATGTGTATGTATATATATGTATATATCTATATGTATATATATATATATAGATATATATAGATATATATGTATATATGTATATGTATATATGTATATATATATATGTATATCTGTATATATACATATATATGTGTATATATATGTATATATATATGTATATATATATATGTATACATATATGTGTATATATGTATATGTGTATGTATATATATGTATATCTGTATATATACATATATATGTGTATATATGTATATATATATGTATATATCTATATGTATATATATGTATATGTGTATGTATATATATATGTATATGTGTATGTATATATATACATATATATGTGTATATATATGTATATATATATATATATATATATATATATATATGTATATGTATATATATGTATATATATATATGTATGTACATATATATATGTATATATATTCATATATATACATATATATGAATATTGTAATTATATACATATATATACATATATACATATATATGTGTATATATGTATATATATGTATATATCTATATGTATATATATACATATATATGTATATGTATATATATACATATATTTGTATATGTATATATATACATATATATGTATATGTATATATATACATATATATGTATATGTATATATATATACATATATATGTATATGTATATATATACATATATAAGTATATGTATATATATACATATATAAGTATATGTATATATATACATATATATGTATATATGTGTATATATACACATATATATGCATATATACACGCACTTATACACACACACACAGGGACTCAAACAGGGCTGTGAAGTGTTAGTGGTCGTTGTGTGTGTCGCCAGCTTCGTTTTGCTCCCTTAGGCCGTCTTCCTTTAGTAAGTAAGGTCATGAGTACCTTCAGGAAGCCGAGTAAGCAAGCTCCTTTTAAAAGGCCAAGGCATCAAGTTCCTTTAGAAATCCAAGGTATAAAGTTGCTCTAACAATTAAATTCTTTTAGAAAGCCAACTCATCAAGGTCCTTTAGAAAGCTAAAACATCAAGTTCCATTAGAAAGCCAAGGCATCACATTTCTTTAGAAAACCAAGAGAGAGAGAAAGGTGGGAAGAAGGGAGAGAGAGAATAAGACAGGAAAGAGATGGAGAGGGAGAGTCAGAGAGGCAGGATAAGAAAAAGAAAGATTGAGTAACGGGAGGGAAAGGCAAGTGAGGCGAGAGAGAGAAAAAGAGTGAGAATGATGAGGGGAGGAAGAGGAGGGAGAGAAAGAAACATTACTATTATCTAGCGTGTGGGCTTCATTAAAAGTTGGTCCCCCCGGATGGTTGCCCCCCCCCCCCTACTGATAATACCATCCAGATAAGTCCATCGTGGCATGAAAAGAGCGAGGGAATGGAGAGAAGGGTGTAGAAAGAGAGTGGTACAAATAGAGAGGGGGAGGTAGAAAAAAGAGAAATTGAGAGAGAATGGGGGGGGGGGGGGGAGTTTCTCAGTGCGTGATATTTTTCCTTAATGAACTTTAATTTGTGATTTTGGTTTCTAACTGTAACATTTAAAATTCTTACATTAACGCTAGTGATTGGAAATTATCGGACATTCAATAGAAAGACAAACTACAGCCGTCTGCCAATAAAATCCCCATTAACACTTTTCCCGAAAACCTCCCATCACATACTGAGGGTCCGTCTCTGCTCCACCTGATGATGAATAACATGTCCAGTCGTCGCGTTCAAGCGGTTCCCCAGCGGCGACCAGAAATGCAAGGACAAAGAAGAGACATAGAGAGGAAAAGCGAGAACGGAAAATACAGAGAGAGTGGGGGGTTGAGGGGAGATGGGGAATGATAGAAAAAGAGAGGGAAATGGAAAGAAAAAAACAACATATTCCTGAGAAAAAATTGTTTGAAAGGTTTTATTTATTGTTGCATTTAATTATGCAAGATAAATTATAGTAATAGGGTATTCTTTCTCATAATATACAGTTAAAAAATAGGCTGCACCGCTCTATTCACAACGCAGACATTGTACCCTATTTGAAGATACACAAAGAATGAATAATGTTGAACAAAGTGCGCTTAGGATGCAAAACGAAATGCTGTTTCAGGACTCATCAGAAAATGCTTATCATAATGATTTGTGATATATTGACGTGTGCATCAGTGCTGTGTGATTCTGTTTAACTGCAACTGTAACTTGGATAATATGTCCAGTGCGATATTTGGATCTGCAAATGTAACTACAATTGCAGAGCAAAAGGACACAATTCATTTGGAGTATAGATTGTATTCTGATGCTAATGAATAGAATAAGTTGATTTCAGAACTGAATTAATGTGTTAGCTGCTCAAGGCAATACAATTTATATCACTTTACATCATATGGCCTTGCCATATTAAAAGACCAAATACATATCTACGTCAGTATTAACACATATATCCCTACGTACTCCTGATTCTGCGTCAACGGGAAAGGCATAAGATAATACACGGATATAACCAGGACGCAAGAGGAAGATAAGAGACCAAATGATGAAAGCGGGAAGTTAGCTATCAGGGACAGACGGACGGAGAGAGAATTATCATTACTAAAATCATCAGTGATGTTACTGTCACTGCAACTGTACATACCGTCTATACTAGTATTATTATTCTGTATGAGTATTATTTTCGGCAACAAATACAAAATATACACACGAATAATCAATGATAACTCTTTTCATTCAGACATGTTGGACATATGTTCGTAATAAAGATAAATAAATAAATGTACTCCGTCATGCTGGAGATATTCCCTAACACTCTCTCACTATATTCATGAAAATCTCTCCAAAGCACTTGAAAGTATTTTTAGTGATGATTTGATTCAAAGTCATGACCAGAATTCTTCGCTCATAAATGGCGGATCACAGACGCGCTTCCCGTTCGACGCGCATCACAGGCAGGACCTCTGGCCCTCCGCGGCCGTGAAAATCGGAATTATATACTTAAGTGCTAACCCTAACTACATACTATAAGCACGTAACACCTTTAACAATTAGCAATGCGCTATTTCATCGGAATTCTAAATTCATGAGATGAGACAGAACCTCATGCAGCGCCTTTCATCTCTCGCAACCCATGCAGTTGACGGTGGCGAGTGAGAGCGCGAGGAAGCCCACGGCCAAGACACCAGGTGCAAGGGTCGCTTCGCCATCGGTTTGGGAGGGCCGCAAGTAGAGCGAAAAGGCGATTCATGCACCTCGAAACAGCGTCACATTCACATTCATGGCGAAGTCAATATCACTGCGTTCTGTAACGACCTTTAAAGCGCTGGTAACAATGTTTGATCATTTGAGGGCCTAGACAGTCCGCGTCATCCATACACACGCATATACATATATATTATGTGCATATGTGTATATATATATGTACATATATATATGTATGTATACATATATATATGTGTGTGTGTGTATAAAGATAGATAAAGCGAGAGGAGGAAGATAGGGAGAAGTGCAAGATGGGGGAGGGAGGTAGCGAAGAAGGAAGAGAGGGAGGGAGAGTAAGAAAGGGGAAGAAAAAGGAAAAGAGAGTAAGAGAGAGAAAAAAATAGACAGATATATAAATTTATAGACAGAGAGAAAAAGATCCACTCACACAGACAGATAGAGAGAATGACTGAAAGAAAAAGGAAGGGGAGGAGTTGGGAGATGAGTGTGGGAGGAAAAAAGAATAAGGAAGACCGGAAATGGCAAAATGCATATTCCTTTTTTTTTCTTGTTTGTTTGTTATATGTTTGGAAAGTTGTTTTATTTCTTATTACATTTGATTCATAAATACTTCTAAAATAGTAATAGGTGTTCTCTTTTTACAATTTATAACGGAAAATAGGCTCTATTGCTCTGTGCACAACAAACATTGTATCCTATTCTACAGAGAATAAATAATGTTCAATAAACTGTGCTAATTTGCAAAACGAAACGCGTTCGTAAGAGTTACTGATTTTCGACTCATATCAGAAAAGGCTGAATAGAATGACGTGAAATATTGATGTGTGTGCGTCAGTGCTCTATATTCCTCTTTTTACTTCAAA